TTACAATAAAAAAAGGCATTAATTGCCTTCTGCATCTTCATCCTGAGCACAAAAAACACTAAAGTTTCTGAACGGAACAACTTTAACTTTAATTTAACTCAGAAAATTCAGAATATATATCAGAATCAGAATCAGAAATACTTTAATAATCCCAGAGGGAAATTATTTTTGTTACCAACTCCAGATATACAACAGCATACATATATACATATACGTATGTATATATATATATATATATATATATATATATATACATATGTTTGTTTTCATCACTTCGTAAATGGAGGTTTTGAGGTAGACTGTTGTAGAAATAGAGAGAAGATCAGGGATTGGACATCCATCCATCCATCCATTATCAATACCGCTTATTCCCTGATGGGGTCGCGGGGGGAACTGGAGCCTATCCCAGTGGTCAACGGGCGAGAGGCGGGGTAAACCCTGGACAGTCCGCCAGTCCATCACAGGGCCACACACAGAGACACACAAGGACCAACAACCACTCACACTCACATTCACTCCTAAGGGCAATTTCCCCAATCTCCAATCAGCCTAACATGCAGGTTTTTGGCCTGTGGGAGGAAGCCGGAGAACCCGGAGAGAACCCACAGACACAGGAGAACATGCAGACTCCACCCAGAAAGGTCCTGGTTCCCCCGGGACTAGAACCCAGAACCCTCTTGCTGGGAGGCGACAGTGCTAACCACCACACCACCGTGCCGCCAGGGATTGGACAAACCAACATAAATAAATCACAGTTTAATGCCCTTTAAATCCTCCTTTAACCCTGTAATGCCAAATGTATCATATTTGATTCATACGGTTTCTGAAATGTTTTGCGTCTGACACCTTTTGCATAATTTAATGGTAAAAACTTTGCTCAAAATCATATTTTCCACAATCAGATATACCTGATAACAGGGGGCAGAAGACTACACAAAAAATAATCTGGATTTATCGCATAGTAATAAATTATTAATATTAAAAATGTATTTTTCTTTTTTCTTTTTACATATTTTGTTAAAAATGACAAATAAGGAATTCAAACAAAAAAAAGTCATTTCTGTTTTGTTTTATTCTTCGATCAGGCTATGAAGGGTTAAAGCCCCTGGGGGCCTTAAAAGGGAAGCCTATAGCTGTAGAGAGTATTAATCCTTTACCTCGATGCCCCTGACTCCTGGACGGCCGTTGATTCCCGCCTCCCCCTGAAAGAGGAGGCTCAGGTGAGTGAATCCGTCTGTTTCCAGCCTTTTAAAACTCAAACCCGGCAGAAACCCACCTCAGAACCCTTCAGGCCGCTGAATCCATCTGAACCGGGCTCCCCGGGGGCGCCCTGGGACAGGAAACGGACAAGTCAATCAATCAATCAATCAATCACTTTATT